TAAAATATTAATTAAATATAAAAAAATTAAAAATAAGAAACTTTAATGAAAAGGGCTTGGATCAAGATTAATTTAATCAAAAACCATCCTAAAGTTTTCTTTAATAAAAAACACCTCAAAATTAATCATGAGGACAAGAGCCCCAAATTTCATACGGGCTGGATTACAGAGCCCAAAATGAACAAAATCAAGTTTCCAAAATTACCCCAACGGAAGCCAGCCCTAGGTGAATTAAATGAAGGATTGTTTGGTACGGATATTCCAGCAGATTCAGAGATTGCCTTGTCATGGTTTCCTTTGAAACCAGTTCCACCTAAAGTTTCAACCAAAATACCAGATCAAAATTGCTCTCGCACCAGCCATCGTTGCAAGCTCGCTCGCTCCCTAGAGTCTTCCATTCGTGGTTGCCGCTATTTTCTACGATCTTCAATTTCAATCAAGATGGTGGTTCAGAACGATAATCGATTTGCTCCATCCAGAGGCGGATCCACAGTGGGGTCAATGGGGTCACACGACCCCTTGGAAGCCATGGAAACTACCTTAGAGACCCCTTGGAGATGGTGGAACGACCCCTTGGAGCTGACTGGTGCGACCCCTTGGCTGCACACCAACTGTTCGACGAAAGGCTCCTCGGCGGCTGGGCAAAACAAAGACGAAGGAGAAGGCGCTGCGCGCCTGTTTTTTTTTAAAAGCAACCTGGGCCAAACGAGTGCAGTGTTCTGGAATTTCTAAGTTTTTCAGGTTCTGTTCTTGCGACGAAAGGAGGAAGAAGATGAGTTTCTCTCTCATCCTTTCCTTCTCACGTGACCATCTCAAACTTTCCCATAAAATTTATTTTATAATTTTGTCCAATCACATTTGGATAGCTAGCATTAAGTTGACGTTTTCAAAAAGGAAAAATGGGCTGTCAATACCCAGGTTTAAATTTTTATATTCAAGATGGGGAAAAGCAAAGAATAAAAAAGAATAAAATATGGTCTCTGTTTGTGAGTCTCTTGCTAATGTGAGTGATGGAAGGTGTTTGCAATGCTTTTCTGACCGTTGGAGGTGTTTGCATTGCTATCATCAAAGCAATGCCAGACATTTACAAATGTAAGCCACCCATATAACTTGACAGCACGTTAAGCGCGTTAAGCCACGTGTGTTTGGTTAGGGGATTTCTTTGATGATAGCAATGTACGTAGTTTGGGGATGTCTGGCATTGCTTTCTAGTTTTTTTTATTATGAAACCATCCAATTCATTACATGAGATTTTTATTTTTATTTTTGAAAAATTAGATATAATTATTCAAAATATCTTAAGTTATATGGCATATATGCTTAATGTGTTTCTAAATTTTAGACTTCTTAGATATTTTTTTTGTACGTTCAGGACCTTTGAACAAGGATTTTGGAGTAGCTAGTCGCGCTATCCCAATGAAATGACGATATGCATGCCGTTTCTGTTAAAAAAAAATTTCGCGCTACGCGCGCTATCCTTATTGAACTTTTACACTGCGACCCCTTGGGATAAGATTCCTGGATCCGCCACTGGCTCCATCCACCAGCTGAGCTTGAGAAAAGGAAGCACAAGATCAAGAGGCTTGTACAGACCCCCAACTCTTTCTTTATAATATGGATATTAATCGATGGATGCTTACGCTTTTGGGTTTTGTATTTATTCTTATTCCCTCAAATTTTGGGTTTTGTATTTTTTTTTTTTTGTCGAAAGATGAGTTTTGTATTTAGTTTGTTTAGTTTTGAATGTTAAGTGTGATGATACTAGTTTCGAATGTTTTGAACTTGAATAGGATGTCAAGTGCCAGGGGTGCTTCAACATGTGAATTTTTATCCTTTTTTGCTGTTTTTGTTTAAGTATTTATTAAATATGTGCTAGGAAATAAGAGTATTTATTTGTTGTTTAAAAGTGAATGTAATCGAATACGTTTGTGCAGAACCACTATGCTCAGTCACTTGCAAACAGTTGTGGTGTGTGGGAACTGCCAGGCTGTGTTGTGCCAGCCTATTCCAAAGGGGAAGGGACAGAAGGAACACAGTTCAAGAACTTGAAATCAAATTGGTAATTTGATGTAACGTGTCTCATTCCCTTCTTTCTCCTCCTCAATGTCGCTTCTTCATAGTCTACAAATCTCTGTCCACGCATAATAAGGCCCCGGTAATGTCGTAGACCACATGGGAATAGCAGCCGAGTCCCACCACTTGGAGTGGTCTATTGGTATCCCAAACAGCTTAGGAAGATCTGGTAACAAGCGGAAGAAACCCGAGATCATCATTAGGATGCTCTGCATGCACAACCATTTAATTGAGGATACACCAGGAAGGATATACATGATGGGAAAGAGAAGGGGAAGCTTATCAAGCATTTGAGTGTATCTCATTACCATGATTCCAGCTCATGTTATAATACCCATTAGGAAATTTAATCTTTAGATTGAATAAAGTAAAAGAAAATGAAAATATAGAATGCAGAAGAAGAAAAAAGACATATAGAACATGGGTACACTAACTATTTATGAAACTGAACACGAGCACACTATTTTTGAAATTGACTATTTATGAAACTGAATATGAGTACACTATTTCTGAAACTGACTATCTATAAAACTAAACATGGGTACACTAACTAAACACAGGTACACAATTTCTAGAACTGACTACACTGTTTCAGAAAATAATTACACTATTTATAAAACTGATTATTTATGAAACTGGGCACGATTACACTATTTCTGAAACTGACTATTTATGAAACTGAACACGGGTACACTATTTCTGAAATTGACTATTTATGAAACTGAACACGAATACACTATTTTTGAAATTGACTATTTATAAAACTAAACATGGGTACACTAACTAAACACGGGTACACAATTTCTAGACCTGACTACACTATTTCTGAAACTAACTACTCTATTTATAAAACTGACTATTTATGAAACTGAGCACTAGTACACTATTTCTGAAACTGACTATTTATTAAACTGAACACGGGTACATTATTTCTGAAATTGACTATTTATGAATCTAAACCCGAATAATACATATAATATATAATATAATTTATATATAACAAATATAGTATTATAGCGCGTCAATTGAACGAAATCAAATTGCGAATATAATTTCATGGATTTACAAATCAAATGCAACTAAGACTATTTATGAAACTAAGCCAACACTATTTATGAAACTGAACACTACTTATGAAACCGAAACAACACTATTTATGAAACTGAACATTTTCAGATGCAAGCTTTTTGGACATCTTATTGACCTCTTCCTTGGGACTGAGAAGTAATTGCCTCTGGCAGTCCATAGCGGACTTATCCTTTAAATCTCGGGAAAATTCTTTTCTTGGATAATCTTCTCCTGTTCCGAATCACTAAGGGCAGCAAGATAAGCCTTCTCCACCTCAAGACCACGGGTTTTCTCTGCATTCATTTTCTCATCCCAAAACTTCTGAATGTTTTCCCTATCGAGCATTTCGGACCTGATAACTTCCATCTCAGCCTTCATTGCAGAATACCAAGACAAATCCCAGAAGGAAGGAATTGGAGAAGGCAAGAAATCAGTCTCTCTCTCCTCAATTCAATTATGCAGCTGATGCACATCTTCCAATCCCTTCCTTCCTTGAGCTACACAAAGTCGAAACCAAGAAACTTTTTCATGAGTAAATATGCCTCAGTTGTTGTTTAGCTTGGTTCAACGAGTAATACATTTGGTAAGTAAAGAGTAGATAATGTAATCAAGCTTAAGAAAAAGGGGTTCAAAGGATACAAAAATATTCCAGCAACAAACTCGTTACCTCAAGCGCAAATATAATTTTACTTTTTGTACTTCTCATTATGAAAAATTAAAAACCCATGGTTCGTGCGTATTCTGTACTAGTATATAACATTAAGAAAACAAAATGGAGTACCTGAAGGGGAGGTGTAGTGGTCTCAAACAGCAAAGCATCAGGCTTGTTAACAAGAACATAAGATTTAGTCCACAAACAGCTCAACCCACACGGGCACGAATACAAATTATCCAAATTATCAGTAATCCAAGTCCACACCTTCACCAACACGCTAACATGCTCCAGTTTCGACTCCCCCCATTCTGATTCGCAGTGAATTTGTTGCAGAACTGCAGCTGCTTGTGCTTCTCTTTCAAACGGGAGCAACCCACTTTGGCACCCCACTTCCTAAATGCGCCGATTAAATGGGTAAACGGGTCAGGTGCGGAATTCGAGGAAGCTGCATAAGAAGAGGATCGAGGAAGCTGCATACATGGGTTGGTTCCAATCGGCGGCAATTTTAGCAGTTGTTTGTTATCTTTCTCCTCTCTTAAATGATCCAGCTATGAGATTTTCTAATGCTTCGCAAATTATAGTTTCATGACATGAATAAACTAACGGACAAATAACAAACAGAAAAAATAAAAAATCATCGGGGGTAAAATTGGAAACATATTAGATTATTTTTGCTGGGCCATGTTGATTGGACTAATTAAGTATTGGGCTTTGTCCTAATCATTAAATAAACTTATTATATAGTTTTTGGTTAAAGTCTAAAGTTGTTAAAATATTTGGTATCAATTCCGATGGCGTTCAGTGGAGGGAACGCAGGGAAAGAGTGAGCCAAAGGAGAGATGGAAATTGTGGGGTGGGTCCCACAATAGTTTAAAAAATATATTAAATAATTTTTTTATCTGTTGGGTTAGGAAGTGGACTATGCCTTAAGCCACGACAGAATTTAACAAAAAAATTGAAAAACAAACTTACAGAGATCTGACATTGTAACAAATTTATAAGATAAGATATGAAATTGTAATTTTTCAGATATTTGGTATGATATTGTAGTTCGAGTCATAATTAAAGTGTTTTTGTGTAATTTTCAAAAGAAACTATCAACGTCAAGTTGACGTATACCACTGATAAATGGACCGAATGTGTGCGCTAGTCGGTTGAATTGAATGAAAGGTGGAATCCTCTTCTACTTTAATTGGGTTTTGACTTTACCTCCAAAAATAACAAAATTTGAGTTTTGACTCTTCGCGTTGGCATTTAGTCCACCGCAAATCCAGACTAACAGAAAAGCAAACCACGCCACCGAAGACCGCCGCCGAATGACATCTAAATCCATGGACCTCATGTCTCATTCCTCCGCCTTCCTCCTCCCTACGCTCCCGCCCAACCAGACGCCGTCTCCGACCTACGCGCTCGTCGTGCTCAACCAGAGCCTCCCGAGATTCGCTCCCCTGCTCTGGAACCACGGTACTTATCCTGCAACTCTCTTCCTTTTCAATTGTCGAATTTTACAGTTTTCGATTTGTTTCTCTGAGCTTTTTGTGGTGCGTGTTTGTTTAGAGCAGCACAACTACGTCTGTGTGCGGACGGCGGTGCCAATCGCGTTTACGACGACATGCCTCTTCTGCTACCCCACGATAACGCCGTAGATGTTCGGAAAAGGTTAATCTTTTACTTTTCTGGATTTTGAAAGTTAGTTTTTAGTGGAATTTTACTGTGAAGTGTAAAGTATGGCTTTTGATTGATTCGATTCTTTCACTGTGTTAGTTTAATTGTTAAAGTTGATTGCTTTATGACGTTGTTCAAATCCGTTGCTGTTGCTTTTTCCAGACCTCTTTTTGTTGTTTGAAGCAATTTCAGCCTTTTGCTTAATTTTTCTCGAAATTAGCCATTTTTTTTTATGTTTTGAACCATTAGTGGGGCCTTGTTTGGAAGGCATAAACTGGAGTGTAATTTTCCGTTAGCAACGGAAGACTTGGTGCAAAACCGACCACAGTCGCCTTCAACGATTCATAAGGCTTTGTTGTTGTTTGTTTGTTTATGAGGACGAATTTCCACTTTTTGATGCTAAGTGCTGATATTTGTGCCAGGTACAAGCCAGATGTTATTAAAGGCGACATGGATTCAATCCGAAAGGATGTCTTGGAATTTTATGCTAGTATGGTAAGTGAGCTCATTTGAACACGGATCTTAGTATGTTTAGCCGTCATTCCTTGTCATATCTAGCAAACTTGTGGAATTGTTTGTTAATGTTGTCATCCTTTGAGTTATGTGGGAAATGATTCAGCCTATTTACGTATATTGCACTTGGTGTCGTGGAGGTACTGTTGCTCCTTGATCTGCATACATCGGTGATCTGGCCTTTTCTCAGGATCTCTTTTTCATTTGAATGCAGGGAACCCAAATTATTAATGAATCTGAGGATCAGGACACGACGGATCTGCATAAGTGTATAGCATACATATGTCACTCGGCACCAAACCCAGATAAGTCTAATGTATGTTGTATGTTGTATATTGTTATCGTTTCAACGTTCTTTTTGTTTTTCTGCTTTGGAATTTAGTCTGATTTTGTAGGTGCTTTAGTAAAACTTTCCGTAACTAAAATGTTGTCCTTACTCCTTGCAACTTATTGTGATTTTTCAACTCTGTACATGAACTGAGTTTCTTCTTGATGTATTGGCAGCTATGCATTCTGGTTGCTGGGGCACTTGGTGGACGGTTTGACCACGAGATTGGAAACATCAACGTGTTATGTCGATTCTCAAACATTCGAATAATTCTCATATCTGATGATTGCCTCGTCCATCTTCTTCCAAGAACACACCGCCATGAGATTCATATTCAGTCTTCTGTTGAAGGCCCTCATTGTGGACTCGTACCCATTGGGATGCCATCTGGAAGTACTACAACCACGGGGCTTCAATGGGATCTCGGTGAGTATCTCTTAAGGGCGTAAGGCTAGTTAATTCTTACCTTCATTGTATTACGATTCACTTAGCATATAATTGTCTGGTCACCTCTTCCTGTTCTGACCTACTTAAGCGTAACCAAAAAGGAAAAGGGCGTGCCTGGTATTGATTTCATTGTTCATGTTTCGGGTTATCTAACAGCCCGTGTATGGCAAGATTGTGGTCACATAACCTATCTAATTTGAGAGGGAACCGTATGTACAAGTCTCGTAGAGTTTGTTGGTGGGAACTGTATTGAGACTTGGGTTGAGGGCTTTCTTACAGTATGGTGTCATTGGGATGAGATATGGTGAAAACTTTTTATCTGTTCGTAGCTGTGCAATTATTGCCGGAGCCTAACTCGCTCTTACTTTTCTTTTCCAGCTGAAACAGAGATGAGGTTTGGTGGTCTGATAAGTACTTCAAATCTCGTCAAGGGAGAGAAAATAACAGTGCAATCCGATGCAGATCTTCTTTGGACTATAAGCATTCAAAAGATGTAGATCTTGCGTTTCCAGGGTTCCTTTCAATTAGCTGCGTACGTAAGTTTTCGTGTTCAATTTTCTTTGGTTTTTGGCGATCCTTATTGGAAGAATGTTGCATCATGTTTTCACTCCCGTCTTGAATTCTTAACGTTGTTTAAACTCCGTCCAATCATATTGTATTTTTCTAATTATTCTAAATCAAAAGTACTATGCAGAACATGTTGGAGTCCTTCTGCAGATAATCTTTTGCAAATTTGTGTTCTTTCGGCAATTTCGGCTAGATTTTGTAGTCACATATCCTCTTCTTCTTGCCCGCAGTGGCACGAACATTGACAAAGAGCCTAAAGAGTGCTGAGGCACCGGGGCCAAGAAAAATCATATCATCATGGGTTACAAAAATAACCAAGGAAAGGCAAATATAAATTTGAGGTATTGCTTGTACTAAAAAAAGTTGGAAAAATACTTGATCCTTAGGTTATAAAAGACGATAGGCGCTAGTCGGACGGCGGACGGTGGGTTGGGGCCTAGCCCCTAGATGGCTAGGCGAGGTCTAGGCATACTAGGTGGATTTAAGTAAATTCATTATATTTCGTATAAATAAATGTCGTTTTATACTTAAAATATATATAATTTCATCATAAACTACAAAATAGAATGACATATTGTTTGGGCCCAAAATATTAATTTGGGCCGAGTATAGAATCATTCTCGGCCCGAAAGGCCTTGTGACATGGGTGCTATGGATCGTTCAGTACGTGGGCCTCCAAACCTAGGATGGCTAGGTCATGACGCAAGAAAAGTCGAGTCCTGGTGCAATAAGGAGTCTCGGCAAGACCAATAAACCGAAGGTGAATTCTAGGGGTGGGCACTTAAAACCGAAAACCGAAACCGAAACACGAACCAAATCGAACCGCACCGAACGGTTTGGTTTTGCGGTTTTGAAACGGTTTCGGTTTTGAAACCGAACCGCAACATAGAAAACGGTTTGGTTTCGGTTTTGGCTTTTGAAAACCGCACCGAAACCGAACCGCACCGCAAATATTAATAAACATTTAATTAAATGTCCATATTAGATTTCATGTTTTAATTGATCGTTTGTTAAAATTCATACACTTAGTATGGACTCAACCACACTAGAATATCATCATTCATCACTTTCTTTTGTTCATTAACTTGAAGGACCTTTGTTATTTTATACCATCACACACACATATATGTACAAGGGTGAACTAATCTTGTTATCAAGAGTCGAACAATGATTTACTAAAAGCCACTCATTTGAAGCATGATATCACATATTCTAGTATGAAAATTTCGCTCACGTTTAATGAATTTAAATTTATTCAACTTGTTTTATGAAAAATATTGTAAGGGACACCTTTTTATTGCACAAACATGTTTTAACATCACAACTACATGCAACATGCTAATTGTTTACATAACAAATGTCATTTTCCTATTACTATTGGGAAATGCTTTTTAATATGTTAAATTGCAAATTGTACATTTTCTTAAAAACCAAACCGAAACCGTTTGAAACCGCACCGAACCGAACCAAACGGTTTGGTTTCATTTTGGTTTTGGCTTCAAAACCGCACCGAACCAAACCGCAAAAACTTGCGGTTTTGGTTTTGGTTTCACTCAAAACCGCACCAAACCGAACCGCGCCCACCCCTAGTGAATTCGGTTAAATAAAGGACTAGGTTCACAATCATAGTGAAAATAGGATTGGTCGAATTAGTGTTTGATCAGGAGAATAAGTCCTAGTCCAAATAGGGTTTTAACTCGACCTTGAGGGTATCTGTTGCTATAAATAGAAGAGGCTGTACATAGTGAGAGACCCCCAATTCAACACACAAAACTGCCCTGCGCAAACCCTCTCAACAACTTTGAGATTTTTTATTTTCTCTTTTTGCTGACACATCTTCCGTTGGCATCAACAGCACTGTGAAAGCAACCGATGATATCTTAAGTCGGCATAGATAGCTCTGTCACCGTAGAATCAGCCGGTCTCGCAGCATCTTCCGTTGGCATCAACAGCACTGCAGCGAGGACAGTTGATTACCTATCCAAGTCTCGGTCGAGAAGGATTTCTGAATCCTTATTGATCGAGGTCATCTCATCAGCCTTCTCGGCGAAGTGAGGTGTTACGAGTTACTACATTCGGCACATTGGAAGCCGAATTGGATATTGAACTTCATAAGAATAGTAGCCTTGTCTTCAGGTTCGAGAACCCAAGAGGCCGAGACGTGTTCCTTCCTCGGTCGCAATCGCAAGACGCAGAAGTCAACCGCGCACCCAACGCAACATCAATAAATTTTACTCCTCGGCCGAGCTCGGCCGACGAGTTGGCACGCCCCGCATTCACCGAAGGACGTAGTTACCTTATAAATTACTCGGCCTGCACGCCACGTAGGCTTGGTAGTTTTTAGGGTCAACACATATATATATATATATATATATATTATGAAGTATTGGAACATAATGAAAATAGAACAAGCATATAATGTGTGTTCATTTAAGTATTCAACAAGTCTCTTACAATTTATTGAAAAAAATGCAAAATGAAAGTTATCTATTTTTTGTCTAAGTGAGTCGCAACTTAGGCAAGTCTGGGCGGGTGCCTAGGTGGTCTAAGCAGTCTAGGCGGGCGCTCTCAGGCGCATTTTCTTAATTTTTAAATACCTAGGCATTAATTGAGACGGTGATCAGCTGCCTAACCCTCTAGACGGTGTTAGATGAGGATTTTTAGAACAGTATCCACGCATAAACTTTTGCTCTGACGGGCGCATTTTCAACACTCTACAAATGTTATTTTTTGTTAAATTTGAAGCGCCACATGTTTTGCCCACTCTATGAACTCAGTGGCTCACTATGTCATTTGTCAACTTGTTCCCTAAAAATATTATTTTTATCTTGTTTCTTATTATTAAAAGACGAAAAATGATGACATACTAAAAAGTATAACTGTAAAGTAGCAAAATTTCGTCTTCAAATTGCCAAGTAGGTTAAATACACTTGTATTTGAAGAATTACGTTTGTGGACTTTTTTAGAGATGATCATTGAGTTGCTACGTACCAAAAAGTGATTTATACCACTTAGTTTTTTTTTTTTTGGAAACATACCACTTAGTTCTTTAGTTTAGTAGGATTGTTCATTTATAAGTGAAAAGTTTTAGAAATCAAAACAAAATGTAGAGCATTGGTCGAAATTTAATTAAAAAAAACTCCAAAATACACCCAATACTAATTCCTTGTACTCGCCACCAAGCACCTTTAAGGTTCGAGAAAACATTGTTTGTCTTCTTGGAGCATCTTCAAATAAGACGTTAGAAAATATACGTCCAACTTTACTTGATGTTGATGTGGCATTTTAAAGCCTACAACTTGATTATTCAAGATATTTTCTTTTATGTCAAATTGTAGACTTTAAAATGCCACATCAACATTCCAATAAAATTTAACATATATTTTTTACGTCTCATTTGAAGATGTTCTAACAAGACGAACAAAGTCTGACAGATACAATCAATGCTAGGTAAATTTTAGATTTTTTTTTAACAACAATAAAATTTAGAGTTAAAAAGATGACAAACTTAAAAGTGATGTTTAATTTCTTATGCGCTTGAGTTTAAATTTATTTTTTTGCAATTAAATTAATTTGAATTCCTCTTTTCATAATTTATACAAAATCATTTAAGAAAAAATGAAAACTAATGAAAAAGATTTGAAAATTTTGAGTTTTAATGATAAGGACAAAATAAAAAGTAAAATAAATAGTACTAAAATTGATTTTTTAGTGTAAAAATATGATTTTTTGTTAAAGTAAACAGTATCGGTAAAGTTCTTTTAAAAAAATCGAAAAGATAAAAAATTGAAAATGAAAGTAGAGGGGAAAAGCTGCAGACGAGTGAGACGTCAGCTTCGCCCGCGTAAACACCAGTCCCTCCCGCTCTCCAACGGTTGCGCTTCAGTTTTAGGCGGCAAAATCTGAAAGGTCAATTTCTAGGGTTTTTCCACTTTTTCTACGATCGAGCATTTCCCGGTGGATTTCAACTCAGAAACAGCTTCATATCGATGATTTAGGGTTTCAATGGAAGCAGCAGCAGCTCCGTCCGATTCCCCCACAATAAAGCCGATAAACAAGGGCGTGGTGCACAGGATCTGCGCCGGCCAAGTGATTCTCGACCTCTCCGCCGCCGTGAAAGAATTGGTGGAAAACAGCCTCGACGCCGGCGCCACCAGCATCGAAATCGGCCTCAAAGACTACGGCAAAGAGTGGTTCCAGGTCGTCGACAATGGCTGCGGCATTTCGCCGAACAACTTCCGGGTCCTTGCCCTCAAGCATCACACCTCGAAGCTCGCCGGGTTCCCGGACCTCCAGTCCCTCACCACCTTCGGCTTCCGCGGCGAGGCCTTGAGCTCTCTCTGTGCTTTGGGGGATTTGACTGTGGAAACCAGGACCAAGAACGAGACCGTCGCCACGCACTTGACATTCGACCATTCGGGTTTGTTGGTCGCCGAGAAGAAGACCGCCCGGCAAGCGGGCACTACCGTCACGGTGAAGAACTTGTTTTCGAATTTACCAGTGCGGTGCAAGGAATTCAGCCGCAACATTCGGAAGGAGTATGGAAAGCTTGTTTCTTTATTGAATGTGTGTGAGTTTTATAACTTATTATAGCATAGTACATTGTTACTTTACAATGTTATATTGAGTGCCATGGATAGTGTAGATTCGTAACTTATATCGTTATACTTGTGGTATTTGGATTTATAGGCCTATGCTCTTATTGCTAAAGGCGTTCGGTTAGTCTGCACGAATGCTACTGGTAAAAATGCGAAATCTGTGGTACTTAAAACACAAGGGAGTGGTTCCCTTAAAGATAACATTGTCACACTGTTTGGATTGACCACGTTCAATTGCTTAGAACCAGTGAGTATATCTGTGTCTGAAAGTTGCAAGGTTGATGGTTTTCTGTCCAAGTCTGGACAGGGTAGTGGGCGAAATATGGGAGATAGACAGTACTTTTTTGTGAATGGTAGACCGGTGGATATGCCTAAAGTTACCAAGCTTGTGAATGAGTTGTATAGAAGAGCAAATTCCCAGCAGCACCCCATTGCAATAATGAATTTTACGGTTCCAACAAGAGCGTGTGATGTCAATGTAACTCCTGATAAAAGGAAAGTGTTCTTTTCTGATGAAAGTGCCATACTGGTTGCCCTTAGGGAGGGTTTACAGGAGATATATTCTTCAAGTAATGCTCATTACACTGTAAATAAAATTGAGGACCCTGCTAAGGAAGCAGATAGGTCAGAGTTGTGTTCTCCTCATCAAAGGTCTCATAAGTTTCTGAAACAATCGCCTACAGAGGATGTTGTTTCTGAAGAAGTAAGCATTGCCACTACAGGCGGTTTGCAGCAAACATATTCTCCAAGTGATGCTCCTTGTTCTATTAATAAAGTTGAGGAGGTGCCTACTAAGGAAGCAGGTAGCTCTGAGTCGTGTTTTCGTCGTCAACTGTCTCGTATGTTCCCGAAGCAATCATCTCCGGATGGCAGTGTTCCCGAAGAAATTCATGTTAAGGATCACCTTGCAGAAGGCAATGCTCGTCTGAAAGCTCTTGAAACTGAGTCTGAGTACACTGATGATGTAGAAGAGTTGAGCCTAGAAAATGCGATGAGCAAGGACTTTACTCTTAGAGTACACAGCAGTAAGAAGGTTGGTGGTAGTAGTAGCAAATTAACAACACATAACAACAGTATGACAACTGATCAAACTCGTTCTCTTTCAAGAGTGGTTGAGAATGCTGCCAATGGAGATTCATGTAGTCGTTCAATCTCTGTTCAATCATCACTCAATCAATTTGTGACCGTAAGTAAAAGAAAACATGAAAATATCAGTACAGTGCTATCTGAAATGCCTGTCCTAAGGAACCAAGCTCTTCATTCTCAATCCAAGGAAAGCACTTCTGATTTGCATGCTACTGTTTCAAACTCTCCGGTTCGACATGACCAGGCCAATGCTTCTTCTGAGATTGATAACTCTGCTGAAGTTGATGAGAATGAGCCATCCAAGTATCTTAGAGCAGACAAGATTCTCAATAAAATTAGAGGTCCAATTTCTGTTGGGGGCAACACTAAAGATCTCAATCCTAGTGAGGTAAGTGGATTTCTAGTTTTTACCTAACTTCTTAACTTGTTTGTTTTGAGTTTGATGTGTGCAAGACTAACAAGTTTCTCTTTCGGTAATTAAAATCAGTGAGAGCTAAGGAAGTTATCACTGATGTTTTATGGCCCTAAGTTTTGACATCATTGCTGTATGCTTATTTTACACCATTTGCAATATTTTCTTTGGAGATGACAGAAAGCACTATAATTTGTTGAATCATGATATATCATTAACCTATCAAAAAGTTATGGCTATTGTAGAAAATACGTAAAAGAAATCAAGGTAGATAGAACGCATGGAGTGCTTCTGAGATACTCAAGGTGATGTGGAACCGAGTTGGGCAGGGGAAATTTGATAGTTTAGCAGAAGTGAAAACAAAGAAAACTTAATTAAAACAACAATAAAGGATAACTAGAAGCTCTCCAGGGGCCCCTCACCTGTTCTTGGCCTCACATCAAGAATTTTGGCATCTCACCAAAATAATCCCATCGCAGGATTAGAATTCCAATATCTGGAAAACAAAGCTTTTCTATCCACCAACTCTTTATTGTTTTAACTATTGGAATTACAAGAGATATTTATAATGCTTAAACCTAAAGAATGCAGGAAAGTAAACCCATTCTAGGAAAGAAATCCTAATCCAAAATAGAATAGGAAACTAAATCTGACCCTAATCAAACTGGAAATAATCTTAATCCTGATAATAGTAGGACTGAAACTTTAATCCTAATACTTGACAATTCAATTACAGGATGTACAGCCTCAACATATAGCAGATCCTCTTCCTATTATGGCATCACCTGCTTCACCTAGCGGAAGTCTAAATTGTTTGTCTGAAGATCTTCCTGTTGCAGCTCCATCACCTTCTTGTATACTATTAGATACTCCAAAGACTTCTTCTAGTGTTATGATGTGTTCCACCTTGCAATTTAGCTTTCAAGACCTAAAAACAAGGAGGCTGTGGATGTTGTCTAGATCGAAATCAAGCTTACCTGGAGGAGTAAAAGCACAAAGGTCTTTTAGAATGGTTACTTTTGAAGCATGCAAAGTATTGGTAAATGCTGTTTTTGATGGGAAAGATTTGTATGCCCACTAACAGGTGCTTTGCTGCTGCGACGCTGGAGCTTTCTCAATCAGAAAACGAGGAGCGGAAAGCGAGGGCTTTAGCTGCAGCTACTACTGAGTTGGAAAGACTTTTTAGAAAGCAAGATTTTGGCAGAATGAAGGTAGTTGCTTGCTAAACCATATGTTATGCGCGTCCGTGCTATTACTAAAATCAGCTTTCCTTGACTGGATCTTTTGATCATTTCTTACTTTTCTTTCTGTTCTACGTTTTCCTCACATATTTACTCCACATATGCATTTGGATTATGTTTAGCTGGTATTGACATCTTGTTGCTTCCCAATTTTTAGGTAATTGGGCAATTCAATCTTGGCTTCATCATTGGGAAGTTAGATCAAGATCTGTTTATTGTGGATCAAGTATGTACCATCCATGGTTCAGAATTAGTTTAATGTTGAGTGGTGTAATGCTGTTAGTTCTTCCCGCTTCAAATTTTTGCACTACGTTCACATATTTACCTCAGTGAAAACTGGTACCTGATGTAGTCTTTTCTCTTTCCAGCATGCAGCTGATGAGAAGTACAATTTTGAGCGTCTATCACAATCTACTATCTTAAACCAACAGCCTCTTCTTCGGTGAGTTAGAGTTTTTGAATACCTTTATTGGGCATGTCCTAATCCCCAGTATGTATGGATTACTGTTTCAGAGGACTTTTTCCTTATGAAATCGAAGATAAAGTAGGTAGGCCTTATTTTCACCTTTGATTGTGTAGGCCATTGAGGTTAGAGTTATCTCCTCAGGAAGAAGTTGTTGCTTCAATGCACATAGACATAATCAGGTGCAAAATCTGTCTGACTACGTTCTTTCATACGCATATTACTCATTAATAATAAGATTATATTTTGATCCTTACGTGGGGTTTCTGGGTTCAATCATAGGAAAAATGGATTCTCTTTGGAAGAGGATCCACAGGCTCCGCCTGGGCAACATTTTAACTTGAAAGCTGTCCCCTTCAGTAAAAACATAACTTTCGGAGTTGAAGGTACGAATTATTTTCAAATATTTCCATGTCAGTTGGAGAGAATATTGACAATGATTTTTTTGAGAGAATGGGATTCGCTGATCTCCAATGAAAGTAACTAATATTTGCATTTGAACGTCCGTGTTCATATATGGAGTCCGTTATTGTACCTAGTCATACTATCTGTTAACATGTTTGTCGTCTGAAAAAGCCACACGCACTTTCACGAAAGGATGCACACAAGACGATGATTATTGTTGTTGCTTTTAAACAGATGTCAAGGACCTGATTTCCACTCTTGCTGATAGTCACGGGGAATGCTCAGTCATGGGGAGTTATAAGACGGACACCGTTGATTCTGTTTGCCCATCAAGAGTTCGTGCAATGCTAGCATCACGCGCATGCAGATCATCTGTTATGATTGGGGACGCCCTTGGAAGAAATGAGATGCAGAAGGTAACACCCTTTTGCATAATCTTGTATTACTGTTGATCCTCCGCCTGTTTCGCAACCACCTGACTCTTTAACCCTTTTTCAGCAAAGCCTCGGTAAATTTCAGATTGTAATATAAAACCGTGCAAATTCTGACTTGATCGACTGTTTCAGATTCTTGAGCATTTGGCGGGTCTGAAGTCTCCTTGGAATTGCCCGCATGGCAGGCCGACTATGCGCCATTTGGTCGACTTGAAAACCATACGCAGAAGGTCCGAAGAAGGCGATGATGAAGACTCTTGATGGATATTTCCCTAACCTCGACCGGCGGACTCCCTGATGGTCCCCTAACTTATTTTGTACTTTCTTCACTTCATGAAACATTTGCCTTCCAAACTCCAAGCACTGCCAAGTAGGGCAGTTTTCATTTGGAACTTTTTCATGTACGATGATGAAATTGGGTTTTGGCTACGTCGAACTTTTCGTTACAAGAGCAAAGCTAGTTTAGTAAAATAAGAGAAAACTAACAAAAAAAAAAACTTAGTTTTAATGAAAAATGACAAATAAATGTGTAGTAAATAGTATCAGAAAAATATAAAAATGTGGTTTTTCGTTAAAAGTGAATAGTACTGGAAGTATTTTGTTAAAACTCCTTAAAATAAGAGCACAAGCTACTCACAAGCTTTACGAGTGGATTATGTTAAAGCTCAAAATTCAACTAAATTTGCTAATTAGTTTAATATTTTATTCGAGCTTGGCTATTTCTTTTCTTTTTTTACTAGCCGCATTCAGCTAAATTTGCTAATAAGTTCAGCATTTTATTCGAGCTCGGCTATTTTTTTTTTTTACTAGCCGCATTCAGCTAAATTTGCTAATGAGTTCAGTATTTTATTCGAGCTTGGCACATTTTCTTTACCCACCATAAATCGAATGAGCCAAACACGAATAAACTTGAACTGTTTCGAGTTGATTTACATAATTTGTATTAAAATATTAAACTTATTAGCAAATTTAGTTGAATTTTGAGCTTTAGTATAATCCGCTCGTAAAGCTCGAGAATAAACTTGTGGCCAGAAAAAGACTGAAATATCTCTGTAAGTCTTTTTGACCCTCGTAAGGAGATGGATAATCGTAGCTTACCACTAGTTGTTCTTCTTAAAAACAAAATCGGAAAAAAAAAAAAAAAAAAAAAAAAAAAAACTAAGCCAACAACAAATAAATAAATTGAAATTAAAAACCCTTTTTAAACCCATATATAAAGAAAGAGGGGGAGGAGAGGGCGGAAGGTAATAAAGGCCAACTCTTTTGTTTTTAACTTGTAAAGAACCCGCTCGATACTCGCTCAGAGAGAGAGAGAGAGAGAGGTAGAGAGAGAGGCTATTGGAAGCAGAAGCAAACCGCGTAAAGCTCGGTCCTTTTTCGTGATCCAAGCCTTTGTGCTGGTAAATCTTCTACCTACTTCAGCTAGGGTTTTGTGCCGCATCGTCTTCTACCTAACAACTCTTACTTTTTCATAATCTTCAATTTCTTTTTATTTAGGGTTTTATTTTCTTGCTTTCTTGTTTAATTTATCTACCTATTTTGTTTGCAGGCCTCTTGATTTTCTCTAGGTTCGATTTCCAAGCCCTAAAAGATGGTACGTCACCCTCCCTGATTTTTATTTTTGTTTTGGGATTTTTGTTTGGTTCCTGAGAAAATGGAGGAAAGCGAGCTGAAGTTATATGAACCCACACAAATCTTAGGGTTCTTTTCCCCTTTTTCTATGAAATTTTGAATCTTTTTGCTTAACTTTGTTAATTTTCACTGCTGCAGCTTCCTCTTTCTTTGCTGAAGACTGCCCAAGGGCACCCTATGGTAAGATCTTGTCTTGTAACTTTACTGTGATGATTCTGGACTTAAAATCGCAATTTGACATAACCCCATTTTTCAATTTTGTTGTCTACTGAGATCTATTATTTGCGGGTTTTGTGTGCTGTAACAGTTGGTAGAATTGAAAAATGGGGAGACTTACAATGGTCATTTGGTCAACTGTGATACTTGGATGAACATCCATCTTCGAGAGGTTATTTGTACCTCTAAAGTAAGAGTCGTTTCATTTATGTTGTTAAGTTTTGGTGGACTTGAAATGATATATTACGATCGTATAAAGAGTGTCATTAATTTTTTGTTGGAATACCGTGTAGGATGGAGATAGGTTTTGGAGAATGCCTGAATGCTACATCCGTGGGAATACTATTAAGTATCTTAGAGTTCCTGATGAGGTATGCTTTGTGCTTGCTATAAACCTTTTGGCCTTACTATTCCCAGCATTCAATTTCTGTCATCAGGCCCAGAATATGGTTCATGCTGATTAACTTCTATAGTGTAAAATGATAACGCATGCATTAGGAGTTTTGATTCATCCATCTTTATTTGCTCCGATTTTGTTCGAATACTTTAGAAGCTTATTGGACTAATCTTGTGTTGTTGCCTTTTGTATTTCAGGTGATTGACAAAGTCCAGGAAGAAACCAAGAATCGTTCAGGTATGATGATGTTATCTCATTTGGTAGTGCAGATCTTTTTATTCTCCGTCCCTGCATCCAAAATGGGTAAAGGATATAGCTTTATCCATTGAGAAGATTGCTCTCTAACTTTGTGTGCTTTGATAAACTTTTCCAGACAGGAAACCACCTGGAGTAGGGCGTGGGAGAGGAAGAGGTAGGGAGGATGGTCCTGGTGGACGACAGGCTAAAGGCATTGGACGTGGCTTGGATGATGCTGCCAAGGGTGCTGGTGGAGGCCGAGGCAGAGGTGGACCTGGTGGGAAGGCCGGTGGAAGCAGAGGTAACACTTGTTTTTCCATCTGCCCCTTATCATCCTCAAGGAAGAAAAGGGTTGATTTGTTGTATCTTCTTCTGTCTGTCATACATTCGTAACTACAATACTGCAAGGACTCTGGTAGCTTAGCTTACAAGTCATGAATCATTATGAATCTATATACTGGACGCGAGGCTTATTATCTTTGTTTTTCTGTCAGGTGGGGGTCGAGGCCGAGCTTGATTCAGCTTATAGTGTGAAACAAACAGCGAGATGGGCAAGTTGCTTCTTATTATCATGGTAATGCGATTTAGACGGAATGATTCAGGAAAAGTGTAGCCAATGTGTTTCTGTTCTGTATGAAATGTATTTTTGTATCCGTTTGGCGGGTTTGAAAATTTAATGTTGATGATATGTATCCATCTTTTCACTCTTATCACAATCTGTCTTGGTGGCACTATCTCAAGAGTGAGATGGTAAACCTTAAATTAGCAATATGAGATCGAGAGTGGAGTTGACCATGAGGATGGTTACGACTCCACTCTCGACCGGTCAAGGTCGTAAATATAGGATGAAAAGATCTTGACCCTCCGTTGCTCGGTGCATGCCAAACGTTGAGCAGTACCAGTAGCTAAAACGTAGGTTGATCGGTAGCAATAGGCCTTGTGGCAACGAATTGAGACCGGTAACTTGTCCTCTTCACAACCAAGCTTCCGAAACCAAACAGTCGAGAGTCTCTGAACTGCCAGAGAACTCGAAGATGCTAAGGAGACAATGGAAGAAGTTGAACGTTCTTTCTGAGGTTTAGAAAAATGACGCAACACGAAGCTAACACGGATTACAAGCATAAATCCTGAAGAACAAAAGATTTTTGGAATCTACCGGAGTTGGGGATAAAACCGAAAGGTTTGTTCTGGGGAAGCTCAAGGGCCTTAGGGATATAAACAACGTTAATCAGACGACAATGAAAAGTCTATTTTGTTTCAGTCATTTGTTCTACATTAGAAAAGATTTCCGAAAGTTGGCTTAGGGTTCGGAAAAAGATTTCGAAGATTCCAATTTATTTCGGTAAACAGTAGCCGAACTTTTCCAAGGGCGGAAATTATAAAATTATTTTTGTGGGATCGACTACATGCATTCCTGTAGATGTGACTCAGCTACATTTATTTAGTAGAGATCAACCAAATGGTTTTATTTCTTCCCGCAAGACAATTATTAGTGTTGTTCGGTTTAAACAAATGTTAATGGCCTGATTTCCAATCTTTCTGCTGGTCCCGGGGAATGCTCAATCATGGGAAGTCATAAGATGGACACAGTTGATTATGAGCTTGTTTGGATATGCTTTTAAAATGACTGCAAATGCTTTTAGAGAATATTTTTGGGTTACAAAAACATTTTAAGTGCTTTCTGCAAGAAGAACCAGTTATGTGCTTCCAGGAAGCACTTTTAAGTGCTTTTTCATGATTTACTTGCATTTTTACTAAAGATTGGTTTCAAAAATATTTTCACTAAAAGCGCTTTCAGTTATTTTAAAAGCACATCCAACTGAGCTCTATGTTTGCCCATATATTGAGAGTTGGCGCGATGCTTAAATCACACGCATGCTGATCATCTGAAGAGCAAAGATTTGGTACTTACGATATTCCTCTGGAATTTTACCTTGTAAATGGTGGATAGATCACACAAATATGGTACAGGAGACCGTTATCCTTACCGAAACAGAATAAAAAATCACCAAAATTACAAGAAAGGCAATCAAACTTGTAGTCAGAGAAGTTATAAACATCTTGATTCTAGTAGGGTTGATGCCGTTTTGTGTTGCGGGTCCGAGGTGATCTTGCAACCAGTGTGCTCGAAATCCATGATCGGTTTATCTCGGGAGCATTATCTGATAACCAGCAACATAAGCGGCCATCTTCACCACCAGTCCATCCAAAAATGCCGTGGCCTTGGCTGGATCCGCTGGGCATGCTTGACATTGGCAACACACTTCGAACAATGCCTGTGTGTCCACCTCCAAGAACTGCTTCAGCGGACCCTATAGCTTTGTTTCCTTTATAACTTACAGGGAAGTAACCTAAAGTGCCACTATTAGTGCCACCAATTACCCACAACTGTTCTGCTTCTCTTGAGTAGTGGCAATCAATAAAATAATCGACCTGCCAAACGGAGTTTACTTGGCTTGGCTAAAAGTAAAAGCATTTGTCCACACTAAAATCATGGCATACACACAAAGTTTTTCGATATCCTCCATTTTAACGGCATACAAGATATTTCAAATGAATAATATGAAATATTCAAATAAGGCTAATCTCATAACTAGTTGACTAAAAGAGAAGAATCTGTTGGAGAGAACAACTTACATCATCGAGTGTCCAGCCTTTAGAAGCCAAAGAACGAGCATCCTGGAAACTCGTTTCGCTTGCATCCTTCCAGTCCCAGATACTACATGAGCGGTTATCAAGTTACAAGTCAGGGAAAATATAAGCAGCACAAAACGCATATTTGTACTCAAAAGCAAAACTTTGATCCTGTTTCCCGAGTTAGAAGATGCAAATCACTAACCAAGCCACTATGTTCACGAGACTAACAAATAGAAGTCGTGCAGTGTGTTACTGGGGTAGATTCATAATCAATTGATAGACAGAGATACCTTAAGGTCTCAATATGGGTCAAACACCAGAGCTTTTCATTCGTCTCTCCAAAAAACCCAACCTTCCCAATTGAAGTGCCAACGTTTAGCACCTATATTTTTTGGAAGGTAAATCGTCATGACAATGTAAAACTATAAACTCTAAACCTCTTCAACTTTAACTTACTGAATCTAGATGATCGTCTTCATTGATATCTCCTTTGGTATCAAATATACACATCAATCCATCAACAGAAGCAGAAAGAAGCTTGCTTTGATGATCAGGGATGAAGTGAACCTATTGAAAACATAAAGTTATATAGGCCGCCCAGTTCTATCAAGTTGCACAACCTTCACATGCGATTTGGCAGAAGAAAAAGTTTCACACTGCTAAAGCTAAACTGTCAAATCCATATGTCAAACGAAAACAAAATGGATTAGAATCAACCTGGGTAACATCTTCTACATGAGAATCCTCCAGACATGCTACCTGTTTATTGCTCCTCCAATCCCAGAATAGTATCTGAGCATAACAAGTCAAACAGCAAGAAGGGGGAAAAACAAATGATATAGAATCTGTCGAAATATGTGAAGAATCATAAGCATAAAAACTTAAAATGGTTTTGCACCCAATGAGTTTGAGCAGACTAAAGAGTAAATGTGGAATGTTGAGCGCGCTATCTTCTGAAATTTTAGCCTACAACTGACACAATCTTCACTAATGTGGAGCGTTGAATTATTGATAACATGAAGAACATAAAACTAGAAAAATAACGAGCTACATGAAAAGCTTGATTAATTAATGACCGGAGCCACAAAACACAATTAAAGCCGTTACAATGGATGGAGCACCTGAGCATCACATCCCGCAGCGAGAAGATTGTTCCCTGATCCTCCGAACGAAAAGCTGAAAATCTCCAGAGAAGAGCCAGAATGAAAAGATGAAACCTGCATCATTAACAATCAAACAAAAACGAGTTAAGAAACATTTGTGTTTATGTATGCAAAACATTGTTAGTTTATGTCTGCAATTCGAGAAGCGAACCTGTTGAAATGTGCGCGTGTCCCAAGCTCGAATCGTTCCATCAGAAGAGCAAGAGTGCAGGACATGTGGAGTTGATGGACCAGAGAATGCAATTTGGTTGATAGTGGCAGAGTGGCCATTGCACTCTCCGTAGTACTGGCCCGTCACCGGAGAGTACACCTTCACGGCGTTGGTCGAAAGCGACACCGCCATTGCCGTCCAATCATCCCTTCCACCAAAAATCCCACAAAAATTCAACACCCAATGAATAATCATAAAACCCAATTAAGCACAACCCTGTGGTTTCAGAACAAATATACGAAAGCAAAGAGATTGAGGTAAAGTGCGAGCTGAAGAACGCAACTCAAAGGTTAAGTTGCTCATTTCTCAGAATTTTCCTGGGAAACAAACAGAACGTAAAAGTTAAGAAGAAAAGGGACGTACTTGGGGACAATTTGGAAGACATAGTCGTCGCCGAAGTTGGTTTGGATGGAATTTTTTAGGGAGATACGCTTGAAGGGGTCAGGATTGGACGGAGGGAGTTCCTCCACCTCCATGTCCGTAGCTTCCATCTCTGTCTCTGTCTCTCTCTCCGGCTGGACAAATAAATGTAATTTGGGGTTTAGGGTTTTGAGTACAGATCCTTTCCGGATCTAAAAAAGGGGAGCTCAATGATCAAATGATCCGGCGGTTGAAATTTGATCTAACAATTACAATTATTATAACGTTAGAGGAGCTTTTATTTATAATTGTTAGATCAAAATTTTTCAGCCCGTCTCATTTGATTATTAGACTCCTTTTTTTTAGATAGGTGAGGATCTGTACTCTAGGGTTTTAGTTCCGCTACGGACCACGGTGGAGGTCAACCAAGTCTACTTTAAGTCAACCACTAAAAGCGTTTGACGAATTCGGGTTCTCTTTGTGAAGATTTTGAGAATCTGTAAATCATATCCGTTCATCGTATATCATGTAATTATAAATTATTTTAAATATTTTTATTTAAAATTAAATACAAACAATACCTGACAAAAACTGACAGCACGATGTACAATGAACTAACACGATTTACGGATCCCAAGATCCTCACCAAAAAATCTGGAGAGGATCCTGTTAAAAAAATTCAGCAACACTCACAATTTTTAATCGATTTAAAAAAATACTTACAACTCAATGAATATTTAACATCGTTATCAAGTAACATATTTTTAGAGAAGTGTTATTAGCACTCCAAAAATCTCATTATACACTCTTCACAATTATATTTTTCTTTTCAAATATAGAAAGTTTGGAATGTAGAATAAAAATTTTAAAATGCCAATAACAATTCCTTATTTTTAATGCTGAACATAGAAGAGTTGTGAGTGTGCTCACGACCCGTAAATCGTTTTATAAAGTTATGTGTTTTTTATTCCACTTAATGATTTGAACACGTAAACCCGCAAACTTACAAATGTTTCAATTGGAAGAAGTATACAAAATGCAACATTAAGAAGGCTCGGCTAAAAAGAGTCTTTGAAGACGTTAAAAGAGACTAATATAATATTTTTAGAACTAATGAAAGACTTGATACAAAATCGAACAAAATGACATTTTAAGATTCATACGACTAACTCAATAAGACAGCGAACTCAATAAGACTTGATTGTTATTGTTTTTATCATTGTGTTCATTTGATTTATTAAGACAGCGAACTTAATAAGACTTTATTGTTATTGTTTTTATCATTGTGTTCGTTTGATTTATTAAATTCATGTGCTAGAAATATAGAAGAATGTTTCATAAGTTGAAAATGGCAAAACCCCCCCCCCTTTTTAAAGATTCATCAATAAAAACACAGTTAACTCAAATTTTGCAAGAGGGTTTACCCATAAGAAGGTAAACAAAACAAATATCCATCAAACTCAAATGGCCGGGGTGAAAAAAAAAAAAAAAAAAGACTTAAAATTCAGATCCATCAAACAAATAACTAAAAGTACAACATCCCCCGTACTGCCACTTCTCTAAACACACAAGAACTCATCATTTTTCTAACTAAAACGATGGACGATGGACGGTTAGATAAAAACACACCCCTAGTAACTTAAGGTGAAAAGGAAAACACAAAACTCCATAACCACGCGAGCTTGGCCGACCCCGTCAAGGTCCGTAACGCAGAATTATGTGCTCGTAGTAGCTTCCTTTTTCTCTTCCGAAGTACCAACTCCGGCCTTGACAGCATCCTGCTCTTCGGCGGCCTCATCTTCTGCCTTTGAGAGATCTAGATCTACAATAAAAGGACGAGGGAACATTATTGGTAACCAAGACGGAACATCCGACTATTGCTTTAGCAATCTTTGTGTTATTTTTCATCCAACAAACGAACAGATTAAAGTAATTTTACATGCAGCGTTACGCAGGCAAAAAATCCAAAGCAAGAGCTTATTCAAGGTAGAAATATTTATAAAACGAACTTTGACCCTAAGATTGTTGTTGTTGGGACTGTTCACTTTAACGAAAAACCAAATTTTTACACTAAAAAATCAATCCTGATACTATTCACTTTACCCTTTATTTTGTCCTTATCGTTAAAACTCAAAGTTTCAAGCCCTTTTCATTAGTTTACAAGGCATGAACATCTTCCCAATGGGATGGTCCACATCAAAAACCCACCTTAACTCCTACGAACCCGAAACCTAAGACTGTGTCTAAGTAGAGTCATCTCCAATCCCCATTCGTTTTTTCACGGTCATCAAACATTGTGGAACCTTTAAGCCTACATCGCGGGTTTTTGAATACTAGACCTAGACTTCCTAATGAGATGTTTATCCTTACTCGGCTTGCCACTAAAGATTAAGTGCTAATAGTCTTCTTACCTTCATCACTATCATCAAAGTCACCCATTCCTCCCATATCGTCGCCTCCCATGCCGCCCATGCCACCGAATTTCTGCATGGTACAATTAGCGTCAGAACAACAAATAGAAAAATCAAAACAGTTCAGGTAAGGGAAAACGCCAAGAAATAATATTTACTGACCGAGAAATCCATCCCTCCCAAATCCATGTCACCGGGACCTGATCCTGCTGAAAACAAGAAGTGGCATTTTAATAATAAAGTACAACAAACATGTTTTCGTCAAATGAAACGATCTGAGGAAATGGAACAGAATATGCGAATTGCATACCGGCAGTATCATCGTCCTCATCCACCCATTTGTCCCAATCTACTTTGACATAATGCGGTGTCTTTCCATCTCCGCGCAACAGCTTAGGCCACCATTCTGGCTCCGCCTTCTCCACAATACAGAAGATACTCCTCACGCCAACATTTATTTTGCTTTCCTATAACACAGCGGAATAATCACACAACGAAATAAGAACCCGCATAAGCACTATCATCTCTGAATAATACAAGAGCATCTGTGATTGCACAAACAAATTCTCACCTCCACATTAACCTTATCAAAAAGATCCAGTTTGAGTTCATACTGGTGATTCTCCGCACCAGCACTAGCCGAGAAGCTGAACGTTCCATCGGGTTCAAGCTTAACCTTGGCGTCCTTTGCATCAGGCAAAAGCACAGTAAGGAAAACCTTATCCACCCTTTGCGCCCACTTCACCTCCGGATGACGACTGCGAAAACCAACCATCATTAGCGAAAAAACTTGCCTCAAATACGCATCACTCGATCGAATATCACCCAAACAAAAACTAAAGTAAAATTCTCTGTGAATTCTTACTGTTTTGTATAAATTTCGGAACTAAATATCAACAGAGCGGTAAGGAAAAATTCAAAAGGACAAATAAACATACTTAAATTGGTGATTAATACATTATCAAAACAGGGATTAACATTTAATCACAGGCTTCAATCCAAAAAAAAAAAAAAAAAAAAAACCCAATAAAGCAAAAGATTCCCATATAATATTTTCCATTTGTTGAACCATATTAAACAGCAAAACATGGATTAAATTAAATTAAAAGTATAAATTACTGAGTTTACATGTCTGCAGAGAGCAATCGGAATTGAAAAAAAAAACACAAAAATTGCATATCGACGAAAAACAATGGCAGGAATGCAAAGACGATGAAATCAGAGGGCGAAAGCAGAAGAATTGAGTAAATTTGAAGAGAAAGAAGAGATGTTTACCTCATGTTTTTGCAGAAAAGGGGGAGAGTGAGAGAGAGAGAGAGTAAAACCCTAGAAGCTGGGAACAGAGCAGAGAGCAGAGAGGAACGTGAGTTTTACGGGCTTGCGGGAGCTTTCGTAATAACGAGAGTTTAAAGAGTAAGAGAGATTACGCGAAGCTTCTAGACTTGTAGGCTTTCTGGGCTTCTCGAACAAGGCCCAAACTCTGTAAAATCAGTCCAGTTGAATGAAGTGGCCCATTAACTCATTTGCAGAGGCCCACTATGTGGTTTTTAATATTTTGATACAAGCTTATGTTAGAGAAATGTCATAGATACTCGGCCTCCCTCTTATGTCGCGTTAGGCGCTAGATGGTTAACTGCTCCAATTAATTTTTAAACATTTGAAAATTAAGAAAATACACCTAACCTAGTCCGCCTAGGTCGTGCCTCTTATTTAAACAGAAAATAGATAACTTTTATTATGCATTTTAGTTTTTTTTAATAAGTTGTAAGAGACCTGTTTAATACTTGAATGAACACTCATTATATGATTGTTCCCATATTTTCAATATAAGTAGACATTTATTCATATATTATATAATAAATTTAATTTAAATTAAAAAAATCACTTAGATCCCCACCTAAACGCTGAAACGCTAAACTCCTGACCGTCGTCCGACTAGCGCCTAGCATAATTTAAAACATGGACTCACTTCTCAACTGTTCCAAATACAACGCACCATCTCTCTTCCAAAAGAAGAGGAATTTGGCTCAGTCAAATACAATGCACCTTCAATTCTCCCAATTTTATATTAAAAAAGAAAGAGGACATGTACATGGACATTGACATTGACCTACCCCATTTTCCAAATCTATCATCTTCTTGTCTTTGAGGAACTAATAAGCATTTATCTTTATATTTTTTAATTTATCCATTCAAAAGGTGGCTTTTTAAAATGGAATGTCTATCTTTTCCTCACTTGACTCTACGTTGATCTTATCTTATAAAAGAGTTATCTTATAATGTGCGGTTGTGCCCGTACTCATTAAGTGTACCAAGAACACAACCTACGACACCAAGTTTCATTATACAATTGGTTAGAAAACTTTTTTTTTTTAAAGTATTCAACCACTTGCAAAATGAAATTTGTTATACTCAATCGTGTTCTCAGTACACTAAATATTTTGGGGGGAGAGGGGGTTTGGTTTTGAAAAGTTTAATGAGAGATTTTTTACTCTCACTCCTGTCCCCAGGTCATACCCCACAACATTGAGCCGGAAATACTTACGCGTGACACTTAACTGTCAGTTGTCAACGTTACGTTATGAATCGACAAATTGTGCACTAACGAAGACTACTGCTAGCGGAACTCGAAACTTGGTGGGACGACACACAAATATATTCATAATATTTGTTCTCATTTCTCTATTTTCATTTAGAAAAAGGAAACAAAACAAAAAAAAAAATACAAACTCTACATGGGTCTTCTCTTCGCACGTGCAAGACCCTCGTATTCCTTTGTATTGAATTCATGCGTGCGTGGGCGTTGTCTGTTTGGTTTATCCGTGACGCTTTTTGGCTCTCTTCCCCCCTCCGTCCATGTCTTTTTCTTTCCTACTCCATTTTGCACTCCTTCCTCCACCATGAAAAAACGCTTCTCACTTTCAGAAGCTCAGCTCCTGCGAAAATGGACAGCTCAGATCACTCCTTCAGAGCTCCCCAATTGATCTCTCACCCTCACTTCGTCTCTCCCCTCAAGCCTCAAGCCTGGTAAGTAATATTAACGATTAACTCATTTATAATTATCCTTAATGTTTTGTTTAGCATTTGATTAGAGATAATTTTTATGATTAGCCTCGTTTTTTAGCATGTCTGGAGACTGGAGAGAAAAATCTCATTGACCCCTTTAAACATTGCCAAAATCCAATACCAGAAAACAAAATTGGGTTTTTTTCTGGATCATTTTTTAAGGAAAGTAGATGGATCATTGGTTCCAAAGCTTCGATCTTTTTTTTTCTTTCTGTTTTTTGATCGTTTCCTTATGATTTTCTCACAGATTCGTTGAAAAAATGGAGTCCTGTGATTGCATAGACGCGCAATGGCCCCCAGATGAGCTGCTGGTGAAATATCAGTACATCTCTGATGTGTTCATTGCCCTTGCCTATTTCTCCATTCCCTTGGAGCTCATATATTTTGTGCAGAAATCCGCTTTCTTTCCGTACAGATGGGTGCTTGTGCAGTTCGGTGCTTTCATTGTTCTTTGTGGAGCAACCCATTTCATAAATGTATGGACTTTCTCTATGCACACCAAAACTGTTGCCATATTCATGACTGTTGCCAAGGTTTCGTGTGCCGTTGTATCGTGTGCTACCGCTCTAATGCTCGTTCACATTATCCCGGATTTGCTAAGCGTCAAGAAACGGGAGCTGTCGCTGAAGAGCAGAGCTGAAGAGCTTGACAAGGAGATGGGGCTTATGCTCACTCAGGAAGAAACAGGAAGGCATGTTAGGATGCTGACTCATGAAATTCGAAGCACGTTGGATAGGCACACTATATTGAAAACTACCCTTGTTGAGTTGGGTAGAACTCTAGGCCTCCAGGAATGCGCGTTATGGATGCCGTCCAGAACTGGTATGAACCTACAGCTTTCTCACACTCTGAACTACCACATACAAGCTGGGTCATCTGTGTCAATGGACCTTCCTGTTGTCAACGAAGTCTTCAACAGTTCTCGGGCAATTCGTATACCATATACCTGCCCACTGGCAAGAATCAGACCGCTTGTGGGAAGATATGTACCACCTGAGGTTGTTGCTCTGCGGGTGCCCCTTTTAAATCTTTCAAATTTTCAAATCAATGACTGGCCGGATGTCTCTGCCAAAAGCTACGCAATCATGGTTTTGATTCTACCCACGGATGGCACCAGAAAGTGGCGAGAACATGAACTGGAGCTGGTTGATGTTGTGGCAGATCAGGTGTGTTTTGTTGTTCACTCGTTCCGTTTTCACTGAATGACTTGCCATCGTGATACATGACTCTTTTTCTTTGTATTTCACAATGCTTATTTGCGTACTGTTCGGGTGCTGTTTGCATCTGAAGTTCATGAATTGAAAGGCTAATGTATTAACAACTGATCTGTCACTTGTCTTCCTTATGATTCCTATACACGTACTTAAAGGTTATAACAAGTGTGGTTGTGCTCAGGTAGCTGTTGCTCTTTCACATGCTGCTATTCTGGAAGAGTCTATGCGAGCCCGTAAACAGCTCACGGAGCAGAACGATGCTTTAGATTTAGCTTGGAGAGAAGCAGAGATGGCAATCCATGCCCGCGATGATTTCCTTGCTGTCATGAACCATGAAATGAGGACACCAATGCATGCAATCATTGCATTGTCTTCTCTTCTGTTAGAGACGGAACTGACTCCGGAAGAAAGGCTTATGATAGAGACAGCACTAAAGAGTAGCAACCTTTTGGAAACACTTGTTAATGATGTTTTAGATCTTTCTAGACTTGAAGATGATAACCTAGAATTAGACACTGAAAGATTTAACCTCCATGGAATTTTCAGAGAGGTAAACTTTCCAGACTCAGGGCTTGAATGTGTACTTTGGAATAATTTGGTTTTCGTGAACTTACATACAAACCTTTTACAAACTGTAGGTAATGAATTTGGTACAGCCCGTCGCATCTGTGAAGAAGTTGTCTATGACTTTGATTCAATCCCCTGACTTACCTGTGTATGCCGTTGGAGATGAGAATCGGCTGTTGCAAACTATTCTCAACGTTGCCGGTAATGCTGTGAAGTTCACAAAGCAGGGCTATATTTCAATTACAGCATCTGTTGCGAAATCAGAATCTTCAAGAGACTGGCAACCGCCGGAGTTTTATCCAGGGTCAACTGATGGTTACTTCTACCTACGAGTTCAGGTCAATTATTGTGCGTTTTATCGCTGTTTAGCTTTACTTTGTGTGCTGAGGTCGATACATCTCTTAGTAACTTCGACAGTGAAGCAACGTGATCTGATGGCATTCCTGTTGCAGGTTAAGGATTCTGGCTGTGGTGTTCTCCCAGAAGATATTCCTCATCTTTTCACCAAGTTTTCTCAGCCCCGAAATGGATCCAATCAAATAAACAACGGTGCAGGACTTGGACTTGCCATTTGCAAACGGTATGGTTGAAAACTTTCCGATCTTTCATCATTTCCGTAGGGCATTTAAAAACTTGCATCCTGCTTTTGTTTTCTCGCCTATTCATCCAACTTGGTCACCTTATGTCCTGAAATGACTTGGATTAGGTTTGTAAACACCATGGGAGGTCATATTTGGATTGAAAGCGAGGGTATCGACAGAGGGAGTATCGTTGCATTCATCGTCCAACTAGGGATATGCGACAATCATAGTGATACAACAACACACCAGGTCCAGATTGCCACCTAAAGGACAAGCAAATTATGGAAGCGGAGATCTCATCGGACACAAACCCGCCTTTAGGGATTGTTTCGGAATAACTTCATCGAATGCACGTTATCAAAGAAGTCTTTGAATGCCAGTGGATACACCGATCAATGTTTTCTGCCTGGCAGAGTTATTAGCTCAACCGGGGAATTTTGGTTTAGTATGTTGAGGTTGGAAGAAATTTGTGTGTTTAAAATTGTGAACGTTGATTGTTACTGTTATCCTCATCGTTACGAGGCCATCAGTGGGAAATGTTGCTTAATTAGTGTTAAATCCTCGTCCGAATGAGGCAAACCAGGTAATTAAAACCTGTTTGATAGTCGATACTCCATTATCTTAAATCGTTCGATAACTAGGTTCAAGGAAACCGATATCCTGGACAACTTTAGATCGTAAACAAAACCAAGATGAATCAGATAACACCGTAAAAATTGTTAAACGAGCATTTCGTATTAAATCCGATTACCAAAATAAGTGGTTCCGGGACCAAAAACCGATCAATAGATAAAGGAAACTAAACTTCATACAGAGTACAACGATTTTGAAATCTCTTTCGGCTAGAAAATGAAGTACTGAAGAACAAAACAAACAAACAAACTTGCTCGTCAAAACTAATCTAACCGGGTGAATCGAGACAAATGGACCATAACAAGTCATCAATCCATCAGTTCTCCTTATAGAGCACTCACTTCTTTGATTTCTTGGATACCCTGCACGTAAAAGAGAACCTAATTAGCAAAAAACAACACAAACAAGATCAGCAGATGACATATTAGGGTTTCAAGGCAGGGTATTAACTGTGTTGGTTGAGCTGCAGCTGGGGCAGCGGGTGCTGGTGCTTTCTCTTGAGGTCCCTGAACGCATTTGAGAATAATCAGCAACGTGAGAATTTCATATGAATTACAGAATAATCAGTAAACAAATTACGGTGACAATACCTGGGCCAAGCGTTCCTCTCTCCTAGCATGCTTCCTCTCCCTGCTAGCCTTGTTCTTTGCCCGCTTAGCCTCGAACTGATCAGACAGAGTCTTCTCTCTGGCCTTCTCAGCCTTTGACTTGTGAATGCTCTCCATCAGCACTCTCTTATTCTTGAAAACATTACCCTTAACCTTCATGTACATGTCATGGTACATGTGCTTGTCAATCTTCTTCGACTCACGGTACTTGCGAAGCAACCTCCTGAGCACACGCATCCTCCTCATCCAAAGGATCTTGGTTGGAAGCCTTGCTTCCCTGGTACCCTTACGCTTACCTAAAAATTTAAGCAACCACTCATTAAAATGTGCCAAGTTTCCTGGTTCGGATAAATTCAAACACTATTGTATGTATGATCACCAAAACAATTAAGGCGAAATCACATAGAGAATAGACATACCATATCCAGAGTGACGTCCCTTTCTCTTAGCCTCCTTCATACGACGTGCACGAGAGCGAGAGTGAATCTTGGTCGGCTTCCTGATGATGAAACCATCCTTGACCAACTTCCTTATGTTTTGGCCTGCAATTCAGAATCAAACCCATCAACAAACAATCCACAGAAAGGCGGAAAGGCACAAAAACATTGGCCTCCCAATACTGTCAACCCAAACATCCACTTAAACGGTTGCAAATTATCGGTGAAACTTCACAAGTAGACAATACGAGGAAAATTCACATACAACACAAGTAAAACATACACTATCTCAACACAAAAACATCTCTTCATATTTTACACTCTACGACTACAAAATGCTTTACGTGCCAACAATACTTTACGCTCTACAACATTATTGCAACAATTACGCAAATGTTAATTACTAAATACTAATCTGCAGATAATAAAGGGGTACCACTCAGGTTAAATACCGATATCAATTATCCACCGCTCATGTATATCAATTATCCACAGCTCATGTACTTAAACTAACCGTAGATTAAATCTAAACCAAATATCTAATCTTTCACATAAACCTAATTCCAAACAGTATACAGAAATCTCAAAACTTCAAGAACCGTACACAAATCGCGTCCGTACAACACAGAGTAGTTACATGTTCAAGTTTTCACGATAGCCCAACGGTGGATTAACGCGGGATTAAAGAAATGGATTAAAAAATAATCAAAAGGATTAAGCAGTGCAGGATAAGCAGATCAACAGGAAGGAATAAGAAGAAAATGAAGGGAAAGGGGAAGATGAACGTACGAGAGTTGGCCATGGAGATCTCGCTGACCTCATTGGGGTCGAGCCAGACCTTGCCGCGACCGCACTTGAGGACGCTGGAGGCGAGCCTCTTCTGGAGCTTGAGCGAAACCATCGCCGGCGTCTTACCTCCTTCCTTGTTTTTTGGCAACTGCTGTGGGCAGAGAGGCTGAGCTTTTGTGGAACACAAAGTTTATATATCGCTCGACTTCTGCGGTTTTAGAGTTTCGACCTAGGGTTTCGTCATATGACTGGGCCTTATAATTTCATGGGCCTCTTTCTTCTAGTCTGTTTTATGTGGGCTCTTTAGATGGGTGATCCAGCCCAACAACAAATTCGGAATTTTTTGTTAAGGAAAACTAACGAAAAGTTCAAAAAAAAAAAATTAGTTTTATTGAAAAATGATAAATAAAAGTGTAGTGAATAGTACCAGAGAAAGGTAAAACTGTGGTTTTTCGTTAAAAGTAAATAGTATCGGGAGTGTTTCGTTAAAACTTCCTTTTTTTTTACTGGTTTAATTTGAGTGGTTCTGTCATTCAGTAGTTAGTACTACGATCTAATAGAATGAGAGGTCTTAGGTTCGATTTTCTCCAAAGACGAATTTGAACCACATTATTGTTAGTCCATTATGAGGTTAAACCCACCTAGCCCTTAGATAATATTGTTTGTTAAAATATATATATATATATATATATATATATATTTGAGTTCTTTGTACAACTACATTTTGTGTCTGAACACCCATTAATTTCATTTAAAATAAAAATCCTCTTATACACATATATAAAATTACCAAGATCTCCAAAATGCAAAAAAATAAAAATAAAAAAAATAAAAAAAACAAAACCATCAATAAGACACAAATTTGGTTTTGATCTCTCTTTTCGTTGTGAGTCTCGTGACAATTTGAGATGTCCAACCCTAAACTTTTTGTTGTTTAAGTTTGTTTGTGCCCTAGCCTTTTTTTTTTTAAACACGCTCCACCGAAACAGCCATAATTGTGTGTAGAAGAAGAAAAAAAGTGTGCGGAAGTCGTTTTCTTTTTTGAGTTGCCTTATCCTTTCATGAGTCATAAAAGTGGCATCCATCTCCATGGACTGTATTAAATAACCCTTGTGTGTTGATATTGGTTTGGTTGGTTAAGGAGCTCGCAATGTGGATTAGTTGGCCTAAACAACAATACCTACAATAGTATTAAACCCGGCCTCGTAACCCAACATATCCGACCTCAACTGCTCAAGTAGCCAACAAAAATTTCAAATGCATGAGGAATGATGCTGTCCAGGATCATTTTCTGCACGGCAGTCCTGTTGGCGACGTTGGCAGTAATCCTCTTGGCTTTGTTCTCGCCGCTACCTAAAAGAAAGTCGTCGCCGCCGTGGCTCGACCTTTCCTTATACATTCAACAACCACCCAACAACAACAACAACAACATTGCAGGCTCAAATAACGCCGGAAAACAACCGCAACCGGACAGCAGCGGAGGAGCGTTCATCTTCCACCGGATGCTCACCGAGGGACCCGAGAACACTTCCCGTGTGGTGGGGAAAGCACAGGGATTCATAATCCCCGTGGAGCACTTTGCCAACTCGGGATTCAACATAATCTACCTGACCTTCCACACGCCTCAGTATTCCGGCAGCCTCAGCGTGGAGGCCAAGCATGTTTCCCGCCAAGACACGGAGGAGCTTACGGTGATGGGCGGAACGGGGTCGTTTGCTTTTGCGAGAGGAGTTGCCGTTTTTGCTCAGACAACTGATCAGGATGACCAGCAACCGTCATCGGGGAATGGGGTGGATTATGCCACTTATCATGTAAAGTTGCAGCTTAGATTTCCCAACCAGTCTCGGACAGTTTTTGGATGAAACTCTCATGTGCACAGCACAGGTTTTGTTTTTGTAATATTTTCTCTGTAATATTTTCTCTGTAATACATATTGATTAACAATAATAATTATTTCTTGACGGGAGAGACAAATATCTAAGAATGTTATGGCAATTTAGCAAACAAAATGTTGTAAAAGTTGTATGCTGTATGCCCACATCCCACATACATTTGGAAAAAGGTGAAAATGATAGTAATATATTTGTTGTTATGTAATATTGTCAAAAGTAGTCCTCATATCATATTTAGATATTATCATGGAAGTAGCTCTATAAATAAAGTGATCCGTGTGTTATCAAAACACATTGCGAAAGAAAAAATCAAATAAAATAATAGGGATATTTTGGATGTGGTCCCTAATCCTTAACATTCTTTGATTAAAACCTTAATAGTATTCAAAGTTTGATCAAGGTCCCTTGACTTTGTACACCTCATTATTTACTATTAATATTTTTATTTTTATCGTTTTAACATTAATTGTTTAATATTTTATGAGATTTATAATCCTATAAATTTAAAATCCCTCATTATAATACTATTAGAAACGGTTACAATAAAAAAATTCAAACATTTTGATTAAATAAATAGATAAAAACTATGTAAAAATAAGAAATAATAAATTGCAAAAGAATATATCCATAGTGTTAAAAAATTGGTACATTTCACATATAATAAAGTGGTACATTAATAAAGAAGAATGGGTACATTAAAAATAAATTAGGGTACATATAAAAAATAAAAATTATGAATACAAATGCATTTTAAAAAATATAGGCGCTAAAAGAAATTAATACATGCGTACAAAATAAAACTAAAAAAGAAAATACTAAAAATTTTAGAAAAATGTTGCAAATTAAAAGTGGGTACAAACTAAAAATATAAATATATGATACAAATTTTAGGCATAAAACATTAATATACCATATGTAATTTTTCTATCATTGATTAAATATACAATATCACGTGACAGTATACACATAGGTACAAACACAAATAAAACTTTAAAAAATATGGGCACAAAAAGAAACTAATATATGGGTACAAATTAAAAATGAAAAGAAAATTGGTACAAATTAAAAAATATTTGCAAATTAAAAATAGGTACAAACTAAAAATAAAAATATATGATAAAAAATTTAGCCATAAATATAAATATACTAATTGTAACATTTTTAACATTAAAGGAATATATTTAAAAATAAAAATATTTTATTATTCAAATAATTAATGATGTTATTAATACCCAAGGACCTTGATAAAAAATTGAAAATGAATAGGATTTTAATCAATGAAGTAACAAAAAGAATGATGTAAACCTAATTTTCCCTAAATAATATCAGTCTATCTCCCTCCCTTTCTTTATCTGCCATCCCTTGTGTTACAGCTACTAAAGTTACAGTGTGATATTTTGCTCTTATTTCGCACATGTCTTTAGCAAAAGTTATTTCTCTAACTTTTGCCTATTTATAACACAAAACATATTATTATTATTATTATTATTATTATTTTTTGCTTCATAGCCTAGTAACCCTATCAGTTGTCTCTATTTTTTTTCTCTCACCTCCCTTTAATCCACGTTTTCTGCCAAATAAGTTTAACGAAAAGTTTTCGGTACTATTCATTTTAACGAAAAATCATATTTTTACACTAAAAAATCAATCATGGTATTATTTACTTTACCCTTGATTTTGTCATAATCGTTAAAACTCAAAGTTTTCAAATCATTTTTATTAGTTTTTCTTTTATAAAAGGCTAAACGAGAAAAAATCATTGGGTGCAGACGAGCGGGCCACATAATCGTCCAATCGAAGACACATCTAGTCGGACCAGTCTCGAGTGGGTGAGGTGGAGTTGCCCGGGGGGTGTTTGGGTGTGTGGTGGGCTGGAAGGCAGCCCAACCCAGTCCAATCCAATATCAGGCCCATCCAGCAATCACGTGTTTGGTAGTGTAGTACAATAGAAGAAAAAGACAAGTAGTACAAAGGAACGTACAAGTTTGCAAAAGGCGGCAACTGTGGGCGCGCACTGGGAACGGGAAAACCACGCGCTCCTAAATTGGAAATAAATCACGTTTTATTTAATAATATTAATAATTCTTTGGAGAGAGCGAAACTGGAAATTTAAAAACAACGGCGCCGCCGCTACGGGTAGGAATGGAATGGGATTCACCGACAAATTGTGCGGTGTTATGTTTTTTAACTTTCTCATATTACTATGCATTTTCGCGATTTAACACAATGTGCAGGATGGTTTTTAAGTTTTTTAAAATGAACTTTGACGAAAAGCTTCTGATATTGTTCACTTTAACGAAAAACCATATTTTTACATTAAAAAATCAATCTTGATACTATTCACTTTACTATTTATTTTGTCATTTTGTTTAAACTTAAAGTTTTTAAACATTTTTCATTAATTTTTTTTTTTTTTAAATAATGGGGAATTGGATTCCATCCGGATTCTCACATCTTAATTATTCATCTTGTATCATGTGGTTAGAAATCGTTTGATTTTTTTATTTAAAATTAAACACAAATAGTATCTGACGAAAACTGACTTTATGATATACGATGAACGACTAGGATGTGAGAATTCTTAGGATCCTCACAAAATGAATCCCAAGGGGATCCCTTTCCAAATAATGATGTTGGAATGTCGTGATTGATTTGAAATTGGAATTTACATGACCTTTTTTTCTGTTCTTTTTTTAGTTTCTTTTTCTTTTTCAATTAGAAGGAAGAATTGTTAGGACTGTACATAATCAAAGAGGATGATTAGAAACTAAAAATTGAATAATTTAAACAGAGTTGCAATTGTCTTTGGGTAATTAAGAACAAACTAATTAAACATTAAACACCTACAATTCAGATTAATCAGGAAGAAACCAATGATCAAAATCATCAATTTCCCCTGACCAACTCAATTTACAACCACCAAAATTAAAATAAAAGTAATAAAAGCAGATAACATTAATCACACGGAAGCAGGAACGCTATGGTCGTCATCGAAGCTCCAGAGATCATCACCAAGGGTGCTTTCCTGAGGCGGAGGATTCTGAGGAGCCGCCGTGGACTGCCCATCCAGATACGGAATCTGATAGAACTTCATCATGCTCTCATACGCCATTAGCTCCTCGGAAAGCTTCTGCACTTCGTCCTCTTCCATTCTTGCAATCGCCTCCAAGCTCCGTTTCCCTTCTTTAGTTTCCTCCACTTCTGTCAGCTCAGCTCCGCCGTGACAACCGCCGCTCCCGTTCTGATTGCAACCCAGAAAGCCCGTTGAGGAGAAAGCGCCATCTGAACCACACCCAGAGTTTTCTTCCCCGGAAATAACAATTGGGTCGGTGTTCACATTAGCCTTGGAGTTAAACTCAATCGACATGGAATTGGAGGGAAATGTCGCAATCTGGTTCAGATCATACCCAAATCCCAAATCAAAGCTTTTGGGTTGATACAGATTAGTATTTGGGTTTCTCAGATACGTCTTGGCGGGGAGGTGGTCGTCTTCGTTGGGGAAATTGACCTTGGCTTTTTTGCCGCGGATTTTGCGAGCCTCCCTGTCGTAAGCTCGGGCCGCCTCCTCGGCGGTGTTGAAGGTACCGAGCCAAACTCGAACCCCTTTTCTGGGATCACGAATCTCGGCGGCCCATTTGCCCCACGGACGCTGCCTGATGCCTCGGTAGAGGTTCTTCCTCTGCCTCTTAGCCGGCTTCTCTTCTTGTACATCACCTGTTTGTGAAAAATCCCCAGTCACAATCCGAACGAAAATTCTCATCTTTTAACTCGCAGAAAAACAACATACGGATGAAAAAAGAGCGTACCTGAAATGGGTTGGGATAATTTACGCGGAGTTGAGTCGGTGCGATTAACCGGGGTGGGATTGCAGTCGAAGAAAGTGTCGGGATCGAACTTGGCGAAGGGAGAGTCCGGCCATATGTCAGAGGCGGTGACACAACGGCGACGGTCGCGAGGGATGAAATTAGCGATTATAGCACCACCGCACATTCTCGAAATCGAAAAACTTGTTGAATTAACTCCGAGATGAACTGAAAATTGAGATGGGGGGGGAGAGAGAGAGAAAGAGAAGGGTTTAAGGGATGAGCGAGAGATGAGCGAGAAAGGAGGAGGGGAGGGGGGTTTTGTACGAAGAGAAATGGACACTGTTTGCTATTTAGTATTAATTACATGTCCTTTTGTGGAACTTTCGTTGGATTTCACCTAACCCTTTATTAAGAGGAGTTTTAACGAAAAGTCCGGGTACTGTTCATTTTAACGAAAAACCACATTTTTACATTAAAAAGTCAAACCTAGTATTATTCACTTTACCTTTTATTTTGTCTTTATCGTTAAAATTCAAAATTTTTAAACCCTTTTCATTAGTTTTTCTTTTATTAAATTTGTTACCATAAATCTTATTGGGCCTTGCGTGGCTGGCAAGCTTTTGGGCCTTGCGTGGCTGGCAAGCTTCTCGGACCTTTTCTTTTGAGTCCAACTGGCCCTAATGAGAGAGCAATGGTACTTATGTGAAACTCTGCCTACGTAAGTTGAAATATGAGTAATTATTTGGCGGCGGATAGAGACTTAAAAATAGGGATTTTCTATCAATTCTATGTCATGTAAGGTCAATTTTTTTGTCAATATTATAAAAAAATTTGTTAAAAATGTGAGATAACTGAGAGTTCATAGAGAGTCTTATTTTTTAGAAGTTCATTTAGTATTCTCAAGGTTTTTTATGATAAAACTCTGCATCTATAATACGTGGTGAAGTTGGGAGACAATATCAAAATGATCAAATGATTGATGGTGGATAATCTGATGAACCACTTCTATCTATTTTAAATCTCTAAAATCAAAATGAGAAGTTATGATAACCTCATGAATCATTTTGGCTAAAGAAACCCTTTTTTAAATAATAAATGTTGAGTAAACGTTTAAATGGGTATGTCCTACTCTGAAAGAAGTGGAGTAGCTTTAACTCAAGTGGT